GGTTAACCGCGACGTTACACTCTGCGGGCTCGCCAGAGACCTCCAACACACGTCCAGACCCTGTTTGGTGGAGGACCCGTCGGACGACTCGTCCAGTCGCTCCAGCAGCTCCGATGGACCTGGCCCACATTTGGCATCATGTACGACGACTGGGGCTGCCCGATCAGCTGGCTGAATTTACCCCAAAACGCCTTCCTGCACATGCTGCGGGCCTCACAACGCAGGGAATTTCTGCGGAGGATCAAAGCCACGGCGACACGACCTTGGCTACCTCGCCTCTGTCAGACAGGGCCTTGACCTCTTCGCCAGCACGTGGCTCGCGCGAACTAAAGGAGCAGCCAAATGCACTGCCTGGCAGCTGGCGCTCCTCCTGAACTACCTGTCGGGCGGGGACCACACCCAACAGCGACGATCCCGATCAAACGCGTCGGCAGACCCCAGCCCCATGTGCCGCTACTGTGACGAGGAAGAGGAAACTCAGGAGCACACTGTCCGCGACTGTAGGTGCTGGGCCCGAGAAAGACTCCCTCTCACCACCCTAATCAGTGACGACCAGTGGGCCCGTCTTCCGCCGCACACAAGACACTGCGGGCTCTTCGACGAAGACCCAGCCCTCCTCGACCTGCAGGCCGACCTCGCGAGGGACCCGCTGCCACAGCCCATTCCGCGGCCCCCCCCTGATGGTGATCCTGCGGCTTCAGCCCAGGACACCTACACCACCTACCTTGACTACGACACTGGTTGGACATGGGTCTATGCTGCCACGGACGGTGCGTGCACCAACCAAGCCATCCCATTGCTAGCACGAGCGGGTTACGGCGTCTACTACGGCATCTATCACCGCATGAACTACAGTGCACGCGTTCACGGCCTAACGCAGAACGCCCAGGTTGCGGAGACCCTCGCCATTGTCCACCTTACGGCATGTGCCGAACGGCCCGTGCACGTTTTTCGTGGACAACCAGGCGGTGGTCGATGGGTTCCAAAGCATCATCGACGGACATCCAGCGCCGCAGGGCACGCACGCGGAGCTCTGGGAAAAGATCCACCGATGTGTTATGGCCAAGCCCAACATGTTTCGCGTCGAAAAAATCGCAAGCCACCTGGGAGACCTGGGCATCGACCTTGGGCTCATCGGGCCCATCGCGGAGGAGTTCAACCGTCAGGCCGACGCCCTTGCCACAGCGGCGGCACGCACGCACAACCTCCCCGACGAAATTGTTGAAGCTGCCAAAACACGACATCGCCAAGCGACCGTGCTTCATGGGGTCGCTGTCGCTATCTACGAGCGCAGACACCGTACTCTGCCGCTCCCACACCGCAGGGCTGGGTTTACAGCAGCGGAACTTAGCAAAATGGAACCGAACCCCCTGCTGTCGGACCAGGCACCACCCGCGGCTGGACCATACATCCCGCAGAACCCGGATGAGCTCTGGGCCGAGGCCCAACGGGCGATGCACGACGAACAGGAGGACGACCCGTTCGGCTTCGGCGGGGGATTAAACTTCCTGGACGACGGGCCAGCCAGCGCCAACCCTGCCCCGTCGGGCAGCCTCTCGACGCCCACCTCGACTCCGCCACCGAGAGCGACATCGCACCCACATGATGACGTCGCTCACCGTCAAGACGCCAACGAGGACCTCTATGATCCCCTCGGATTGAGTGGCAGCATAGACGACGCCCCGCCGACACCCCACGCTGCCGACGATGCCGCTTCATCGAGACGCCACCCGACCACGCGGCCGACCTCCGAGCCCTCGCACGGCATCATGATTGGTCCCCCCGTGCCACCCGCCCCGTCCCCCCACCAGCGCCAGCCCGCGGGGGCGGCTCCAGCCCCCCCGCAGGGCACTGAGCCAGTCAGGCCGTCGCACCCCGTCCACGCTTTTA